TTTTTTTAAGAAGTCTCTTATGCTCGCAAATTAAGGCTGCATTTATTTGATCAAAAATACAGTAGCAATTGTGAAGTATTATTATAATTTGAAAATAGCTGTTTTCTATGTGAATACATTTTAAAAAGTAATGTATTCCTGTGATGCAAAGCAGAATTTAGCTTGAAAATCATGGTGCTGAATTATTATTATTACTTAATTATTAATAATGGCTCTTATTATTATCAATGTTGTAAAGCTTTTTTTTCTGCTTAATATTTTTGTGGAAACTGTGATACATTTTTTCAGGATTCTTTGACGAACAGACCTGTTCAAAAGACTAGCATTTATTTGAAATAGAAATCTTTCGTAAGATTATAAAATGTTTTTACTGTAACTCTTGATCAATTTGATGAGTCCTCGCTGAATATAATTATTCATTTATTTTTCCAAAATCATACTTAGTGCAGACTTTTAAATGGTAGTATATCGCGATTTCCACAAAAACAGTTTTCATCATTGATAACAATAATGTTGAGCAGAAAATCAGCATATCAGAATGATTTCTGAAGGATCTTGTGACACTGAAGACTTGAGTAATGATGCTGAAAATTACATTACATAAATTACATTTAAAAATATATTCAGATAGAAAACTGTAATTGTATTCATGCTGAGGATTTTTTAAATTATTATTATTATTGGATTTTATTATTATTTTGGTTTTATTATTTGTATTATTGTGATTTTTGTCTGTTAGTAAGTGTAAAAAAAAGTAAGTGTACAAAAAATTATATTACTTATAATTTTATTATATATATATATTCCAAACTTTGAACAGTAATGTATGTGTAAAAATCCCACATATAAGGACAACTACAATAATATGTCAAATGTCATTGATAATTGAGAGCTGAAATGCTGTCTTGTGTGTGAAGGCTTTTCATATGTTAATGGCTGGTGGTTACATGCTTGTTTTGTTCTCAGAGCACATGGGGAAGATGACTTAAGGATTTCAAGTTGTTTTATTACTGGCTACAGTAAACATTCTTACTGTTTAAGCAGGATAAACCAGCACCAACCAGACCAGCACGGAAATTCATGTTGGTCTAAACTGGCAAGTGAAATATATAGTCTTACTCTGTTCATATTTTCTTCTCAGCAGATCCAGGACGCTGCGGATCAGGGCATCATGTTTGTGGGCTTCATCCAGGAGCCAGCTGGCCTACGCCCACACGTTCTACGGCACAGAGAACCAGAGGAACCCTCCCTCTCCCTGCACTCCAGCCCCAGCTCGCTGCACGGCTCTGGGCTGACTCCCAGTCCCAGTCCCCTGGAGGAGCCGGAGCTGGGAGACGAGTCCGGAGCGGAGAACGAAGGGAAAAACGGGGGAGGTGAGGCTCTGAGAGAGGACGTGAAAGCTACTGAAGGTGGAGATGGAGATGATCTCTCTGTTGAGATATCAGCCGTGTTGAAATCAGGATCTGGTGAAACACAGCAAGGAGATACACTGACACACAACAACAACGACACGGCCGAACGCACAGACACATCCGAGAAACCCAGCAGGTTGGCCCTGACTAAGAGTGGTGGGTTGATCGTCTTTATCCTTTGATCAGACGAAATCTCACAAAATATTTAGCGAAAATAAAAGTGTATTTTAGTTCCAACATATGACACTGGCCAGGGCTGGGTGATGTTTTTTAGCACATTTTTAAACATATTCAATATAAGTATTTAATACCGTTCAAAAAGTTTGGGGTCTGTAAGATTTTTTAAATGTTTGTTTAAAAAGAAGTTTCGTCTGCTCCCCAAGGATGCATTTATTTGATTAAAAATACAGTAAAAACTGTAATATCATGAACAATATCATATTTTCATTTAAAGTAGCTTTTTTTTCGATGTGAATTTATTGTAAAATGTAATTTATTCCTGTGATGCAAAGCTGAATTTTCAGCATCATTACTCTAGTCTTCAGTGTCACGTGAGCCTTCAGAAATCATTCTAATATGCTGATTTCGTGCTCAGGAAATGTATTATTATTATCAATATTTTAAAAAGTTGTACTGCTTCATATTTTTATGGAATCTGTGATACATTTAGCTTGTCAGGATTCGTTGATGAATAGAAAGCAAGCTTTTGAAATAGAAAGCTTTGTAACAATGCAAAAGTCTTTAACCAAATGAATGCATCCTTGCTGAATAAATGTATTAAAATTCTAAAAAAAAAATTTTTTTTAAACTTACGGACCCCAAAATTTTGAAAAGTTGTGTATGTACTGCTGTTTTATTTACATTGATTACATTTGCTTACTTATTAAATGGCTTAAAAGGTGATTGTAAAGTTTAATTTAGTTGAACAAAAACAATCAAAACATGTTTTCAACAGTTTTTCACTGAACGAAAATGTAATTTTCATTTTAGGGCGGTCAGTCAATTAAATCAAATTTAATTACATTATTATTTTGATTAATTGCATATCAGTATTTATCAAGAAACCCCCAAAATGATTATAATTCAAAGACATTAGCCTATAGTTTCATGCCAGACAAATAAACTAATCGACATTATTAAAAAATGCCATTAGAAGTCAACATGTTGTGATTTATTTCCATAACTCTAAACATAACCTTATCACATGCTCTTGCATTTTGTCATTTTTGATTATTTGATTATGAGTGACATTTTTTGGTGAAACTAGTCTAAAGACACTTAACATACTGGTTACAATATTGGTATATTTTAATATTGACAGCATAACAGTCACAAATATATCACTCAGCCCTAATGCCAGCTGTTTTTCTCAGAAAGATCAAAACTCATTTGTCTTCTGGGTGTCATATATTGTGAAAGCATCTCACTAGCCTGATTTTGTCGTTTTTGTCTGAAGAAAAGCATTGTCACAGAGTTTAAGCAATGCTTTGACGTATGGGATTGTGCAGACTTGGCATTTACAAAAACCCACACAGCGGGTGCTAGATTAGGCTTTGTTCACCCTTCCTTTCCCACCAGTAACCAGATGGCAAACCTCATTCTCAACATTAGCTAGGGAGCCTTTTTTATTTGTAAAATTGTAGCATTGTGCACAGAAATCGCCGTACCATGTGAACGATGCATGCTGGGAGTCCTGTGCCGGCAGCCCGAGTCTCCATCTGGATGTGAAAGTGACTTCGTCAGCAGTGGAGTTATCCTACTGTCGCCACCGGTGGCCTCATGCTACACCAATTTTTCTCATTCAGCCACAAAATGACAGCTGCCAGGAGTCCTTTGGCACAGCGCTGCGTCTTTATGACTTATCGCCACTGCTGATAAATATAGTCATTCCCCGCTCAAATCCCTCTAATGCTCACGGTGAACATCTATAAAACATAATGCCGCTGGTCAGCAGTGTGAAATGCTCAGAGCTCAGATGAGGTGCAGGTTTGTCAAAGGGCTTTCACATCCCGCCGTGCAGCCATCGAGTGAAGCCTGCATTCAGAAAGGAAAGGCAAGATTAATTGTATAGTTCGTTTCATGCACAGCTTGTAATTCAAAGTGCTTTACATAGTAAGGCCAGTATTCTGGGTCAATCTCACAAGATGCATTTTAAACCAACATGAAAAAGAAATAAGAACGTGAGAGTGAAGTCGATTGTAGGACCATTAAGATTATGTCATTATTTTAATGAAAAGCTGTTCAGGTTGTAGTCTTAAAACTGTGGCAAAGAAGTAGCATTGTTAAGCCATGAAATGTACATTTAGAAAAATTTTAAAATAAAAAAAAATTTAATTTTGAAATAAAAGAAAAACAAAAACAAATGTATTGCAGTTTAATGATCAGCGTTATTAGTCAACTAAAACCATAAAAAAAAAAATTCATTGCTTTAAATAAAAATTCAACATTTACTTCAATAAAATTTCAAAAAATACTTAAATTTACTTAAAAAAACACTTTCAAAATATTTTATTTCAGCTAGTTGCACCATTTCTCATTTTAATTTAGTTGAATACTAATACTTCAGCTTAGAACTTGATGTACTAAAATAAATAAAAAAAGAATAAAAACTGTAAAAACGTTTACGAAAAAAACACACAACCAAATTACTAAAACTTAATAAAATATAATAATTCATGTAAAAAATATAAAAATATATTTTTTATTTTCATCAAAACAAGGTAGAAATTGTTCAGTGACAAAAGCACTTCCAAAGGCATTCATTTTTCTCATTTTCTAACTATTAATTCCTATCCCAAAACAATTCAAATGCCGAAGATTAAGAATAGAATTAAATAAATAAAAAGAATCAATAATGGTGATACACAAATATCAAATTATTCATGCAAAAATAACAAAATGTGAATTCAAATGAAATAAATAAATACATAAATAAAGAGATTACTTCAAAGACATTAATTCTAAATATTAATAAAAACTAAAATAGTACCTTAAAGCTACTAAAATAACATTGATAATGATAGGTGACAATTTTTTTAGGAAATTAACTAAATGTGAATTGTTTCTGCTAATAGCGATGTTTATTTGGACTGTGTTCATAACTAAGGGAATCAAGCAGAAAGTAACAGCAATGCTAAAATAGACATGCTGTCTTGAAGTGTTTTCCAGAATGTGCGCCTTTGAGTCAAAAAACATCTATTTATATCTGAGCCTTATGTTTGGAACTTCAGCAATCCACATCCGAATTTTTCCATAGTTATCGCCTCCCATGTAGACGGAGGTCAGGACTTGTGGGCATGTGTTTGTGTGCTGATATGATGCAATTCAAATGCGGATTAGGCAAACACTTGATGACATGTCGCGTTCCTTGGCAGTGCTAACTGCAGATATCCAGCGTGTTTGACCTTGTCAAAAGGGTTGATCACATATGGAGGCCTGTGCTTGTTGCCCCACTAAATGGCCAACGCTTTACCAAGCCCCTCTGAAAGTTAGTGAATGTCACAAAGACAGTGGCTTTCATGTGAGTGAAAAGTGATGTGACCCATACTTGGAATTAGTGCTCTGCATTTAACCCATCAAAAGTGCACACACACAGCAGTGAACACACACACACCGTGAACACACACCCGGAGCAGTGGGCAGCCATTTATGCTGCGGCACCCGGGGAGCAGTTGGGGGGCCGGTGCCTTGCTGAAGGGCACCTCAGTCGTGGTATTGAAGGTGGGAGAGAGCACTGTACATTCACTCCCCCCACCTACAATCCCTGCCGGTACGAGACTCAAACCCGCAACCTTTGGGTTACTAGTCCGACTTCCCCATGTGTGTGGAGAGCATGACTTTGTGTCTAATGAACTGTATTTAGAGCTGCAACCAGCCAGTTTTATTATAAGTGAAACTTTGATAGAGAATTTTTAGAGAATAGAGAATGCCATTTCCCCAAATTCTCATTGCAAATTAATGCAACTTTTAACTGTAAGATACTATGACAATGCTGAGTTAGTGGTGATACTTCTGAAACTCAGAGAATCAGACCTTTACTTTTGTTCACACTAGATTTTATTTCTAATTATAGAAATAATAATGATTCAGTGATGGTATGAGCATTTGATAAATCATGAGACTTTGATGGACACCAGGGTTTTTTCCCCCTTTTTTTTGATTTTATAAGATTTTATAGTACATATCATATCACATATTACATTCATGTTATCTAAATCATATTGCAAAGTACATTTGCATGGACAAAAATACTATATGGTGCTAGTGTTCAAAAAGCCAGTTTTATTTAAAACTAAGAATATAGTTAGACTAGAATATAGCAGCTTTAATATTTAGGTGGACCTTATTAAAACATATCCACTGTCACTATCTTTCACATTTATGTCCACAAATTCTGCAAATTAATGCAAGTTTTGTACTGTAGAAAAAAAAAACTAAATACTAAAATCTACAAAAACATTTTTTATTATTTATATATATATATATATATATATATACACACTATATATATATATAATATATATATATATATATATATATATATATATATGTATATATACACAATATATATATACACTATATATATATATATATATATATATATATATATAGTAATAAAATGATTTAAATAAAATAAAATATAAAAATTGATAAAAAAAATATTTTAAATAAAATAAAAAAATGTAAATAAAAAAATCAAATAGAAATATTTCATTTAAATAAGGTCAGTACAACAAACACTACTGTGACGTATAAATATTTCACAATGAAAAATGTTTTGCGTTTGAGTAATAAAAATGAGGGGATACATGTGCATAATTGTCATGAAAATAACAACACAAAAAAAATCTAAATTGTTCTTTATTCAAAATATAATTTGCTTTCACCTTTTTGATTTTTGGGCCTAGAAGTACACAGGCTCTTGCCGGGGATTTCCATCACGCACTGGCCCCTATTTATAAAAAAGGGCAGAAATAAAATAAAAATCTGCCTGTAATAAAGTGATGCACATGTACTGTGAACATTACAGGGAATGGGTTTATAGGAAGAACCTGTTGTACCCCAGTTGAAGTAAAACAACAATTAATGATTCAATTTTGCTCAGAAAGCCATTCAGATGGCTCTCTCTCATTGGCTTCTCTTGGTCCTGTCAGAGGCAGTTAATGACTCAATGCAGTCAGCGGCAATCTAAACGATCGCTGCCAGAGCAAAAGTGCAGCCATATTTATCTTTTCGCTCAATTTCCCATTAGTTGTAATATAGGTCTGAAAATAGAGAGGTTTTACTGGGTGAAGCCAGGCACACAAACAAATTCATCTTAGACTATCGTAATCCATTAGGTCCGCTCTCTTTCTCTTTGTGGCAGATGTAAATAGTGTTTTGTTTTCCAGTCAAATGTAATCTCATTGAGAAGAACGGATGGTCAGTTCTCTCAAGTGTGGGGCCGGTCTAGTGAGAAATACTTGGTCCTAAATACTTGTTCGAGACTGCCACTACATCACCTAATTTCCTTAATTACTCACCTCAGCTAGACCAGGACATCAGCTAATTAGTTGTTAAGCCCATCTACAAGCTAATTAATTAAGTGTGAAGGACCACAGCGATGGAACACGCACTTCACAAAGCAACAAATCTAATATCCTTCCCAACAAGACCAGTGCGAGTTTGGGTTATGATGGTTAGTACTGGTTTAGTGTCTGCCTCAGAATGAATATTGGCCCATGGACCGCTAAATTAAATCAAATGTAATTTGTAATCCGTGTTAGTATTAATCAGTATTTTATAATACATAAATATAATATACAAAATTATATATATATAGTATCTATTTTGAATCAGTTTTTGTTTTTATTTTTAAGCTTTTTTAACAAAAATAAAAACACACAACAAAATTACTAAAACTTAATAAAATATAATAATTCATGTAAAAAAATATAAAAAAAAATTTATACTGTGTTTTTATCATTTTTACTAGTTTTTTTAAATATATATCTATAATCTATCTATAATTGATCTATAATAACCCTAATATATATATATATTTATATATATATATAGTATATAAACATAATAGTGATAAAAAATATTTACAAATACATAAAAAATATTTTCAAATAATTATTATGTCAGTATCAATTAATTCATCATTACAATAATAATAATAATAATTCATTACATTTATATAGCGCCTTTCTAGGCACTCAAAGCGCTCCACATTGTCAGGGGTATCTCCTCATCCACCACCAGTGTGCAGCATCCACCTGGATGATGCGACGGCAGCCATAGTGCGCCAGAACGCCCACCACACACCAGCTTATTGGTGGAGAGGAGACAGAGTGATGAAGCCAATCAGCAGATATGGGGATTGTTAGGAGGCCATGATGGTCAGAGGCCAATGGGCGAATTTGGCCAGGATGCCGAGGTCACACCTCTACTCTTTTCGAAAGACATCCTGGGATTTTTAATGACCACAGAGAGTCAGGACCTCGGTTTAACATCTCATCCGAAGGACGGTGCTTGTTGACAGTATAGTGTCCCCATCACTATACTGGGGCGTTAGGACCCACAAAGACCACAGGGTGAACACCCCCTGCTGGCCTCACTAACACCTCTTCCAGCAGCAACCTAGTTTTCTCAGGAGGTCTTCCATCCAGGTACTGACCAGGCTCAGCCCTGCTTAGCTTCAGTGGGCAACCAGTCTTGGGCTACAGGGTGATATGGCTGCTGATAATGACAATAATCATTGTTGAGCCCTGTTCCAATATGATGTTCATTCAAATGTCCTCTGCCTTTAAAATGTGTCTGATTTTTTGAATAATTTTTGTCTGTATTTCCATTGAAATCAGTGTTTCACATGTCACAGGAGCCGAGCTCTTTGGACTGTTTAACTACCCGGGTCGGCGTGAGGGTCAGCTGAAGTACTACACGGTTAAAGTGCCTCTGCGAGTGCAGCCGCAGGGCGAGGGCATCTGTACTCTGGAGGCCAACTGGCTCGATCACATGACTCAACACTTCAACAACGGAGCTTCACTAGTGGACGGATACTTTCAGCTGGCCAGGGACAACGGTGAGTTAGTGCTGATGCTTCTCAAACTCAAACAACCAGACATTTACATTTGTTCACACTAGCGTGTTTTAAAAATACTATGGTGGTACCATGATTCAGTGATGGTATTAGCATTTGATACCATTACTAAACCATAAGACTCTGATATACAGCATGGTCCGTTTGATTATATAAGATTTGATATGATATCACATATAATATATTCTGTCATATTGCAAAGTACCTCATGGACAAAATACTGCATGGTGCTAGTGTTCAAAAACAAACATTATATTATTATGGTTTTGTAAAATGTAATATATATTAAAAAAGTAGAATACACTAATGAATAATGAATAAATAAATTCCAAAATGGTATACATAAAACACAAAATTGACTAAATAAAAAAAGAATGAATGCATGACTTAATACATTAACATAATAATAATAATAATAATAACATTTATAAAATAAAATTCTTAATACTACATGGTGTAGTGTCCAAAAACTGAATCGTATTACCGTATTTTTTTGTAAAGTGTAATACATGATTCAAATATATTAAAATACGGAATACAGTAAATTAATAAATACATTCCAAAATGGGATACACAAACTAATAAATAAATACAATAATACAAATATATAAAATAAAATAGAATTCTGAATATTATATGGTGATAGTGTACTAGTGTACAATCTTACCATGTTTTTTTGTAATATATAAAAATATAAATTGTATATATATATATATATATATATATATATATATATATATATATAACAATCAAACAAACAATTAAATACAAAAATCCTGAATACTACATGGTGCTAGTTTCCAAAAACAAACATGTTTTCTTTTTCTATTATATATTTCTATGACAATGCCATTGTAATTTTTTATAAGGGTTATGAAATTATTAATATTAAAAGGTGCTCGTCCTATACTACATGGTGTAGTGTCCAAAAACTGAATCGTATTACCGTATTTTTTTGTAAAGTGTAATACATGATTCAAATATATTAAAATACGGAATACAGTAAATTAATAAATACATTCCAAAATGGGATACACAAACTAATAAATAAATACAATAATACAAATATATAAAATAAAATAGAATTCTGAATATTATATGGTGATAGTGTACAAAAACAATGTCTTACCATGTTTTTTTGTAATATATAAAAATATAAATTGTATATATATATATATATATATATATATATATATATATATATATAAAAAAAAAACACACACTTATATATAAATATCTCAAACAAACAATTAAATACAAAAATCCTGAATACTACATGGTGCTAGTTTCCAAAAACAAACATGTTTTCTTTTTCTATTATATATTTCTATGACAATGCCATTGTAATTTTTTATAAGGGTTATGAAATTATTAATATTAAAAGGTGCTCGTCCTATAGATGATAAATAGATTGATTTATCACCTAATAAATTAATTAAATGTGTCTTCTAATAAATGGATGAGTTTATTATTATACTGATGAGTTTGATATTATAGTTTGATTAGTTTGATATTATACTGGTGAGCTTTATTTTATTTTCTGACTCATTAATTAATCATGCTATTAAAATAGCTTGTGGGGTTTTGCTCACTTGAGTGCACTGAAAGCATTTTCAGAAAGCGCAGTAGAGATCTGTAGCACTGAGGGAAATGCACGGCTGGTTTGAGTTTTGCTTTGTTCCTTTGATGGCTAACCCAATGTAGGTTGTTTTGTGGCTGGGTTATAACATCGGGGACATGGGGAGAGGAGGCTCTTTGTCATCATTTAGAGCTTTCTGGGTCTTCAAGTGGTAATGATGTGCCTAAAGAACGTGTGAAGTGGCAGCAAAGATGCAAAACCCAAGCCTCTTATTAGTTATTTAATTTTCTTTAATGACTCCCCTGTACAGTCAGTAAACCCCAGCCAAGTTCTGTGCAATTCTACCGAGGGAAGTCGTCCTGAGGTAATTACTGAGCAAAAGCAGAAATTAATTAGATTTTTACATTTTCTGAGGAAAATAAGAGTGGTATTGGCCCATGCAAAACTCAATGCCACAAAGCTGTGGTGTTCTGGTGGTTGCATACAGGCCTGAGTCAAAAGTCTCTATGTTCTGACCTCTAGATATGGCACAAGTTCCTCATTCAGTGCTAACTGCCAGTTCAATAGCTTAGAAAAGTAAAAGCACACATCTATTTAGCAAACAATATGATTTGAGGCATTATTCATATCTGTGAGACAAATACAGGACAAGCAATGACGTGTAATACTTAGCAAACTAACCGTGTATATGAGCAATATTAATACCGATGCTTGGACTTCGCAAAGACCACTAATAAATAGATTTAAAAAATGTAATACACTAAATGAATAAACAAGAAAAAAATGAGATACATCAAGAAAAAAATTGACTATACAAAAATTGACTATGTAAATAATAGACTATATATATAATAAAAAAATGCAGACATGACTTAAAAAAAAAAGTCAAGTTCATTCCAAAAAAGTGGAATTCATAACCATATCTAAATAAAAATAGAAAGTAGAACACAATATATAAAACTATTGCATTATGAGAATAATATATAAATGAAAAACGTAATAATAATATATAAATATTAGATTGAAAACTTATACAACTTAAAAAGTAAATTAGAAAAAATGTGGCAACTAGCTGAAATAAATATACAAAAAAAAAAATATATATATATATATATATATATATATATATATATATATATATATAACAATCAAACAAACAATTAAATACAAAAATCCTGAATACTACATGGTGCTAGTTTCCAAAAACAAACATGTTTTCTTTTTCTATTATATATTTCTATGACAATGCCATTGTAATTTTTTATAAGGGTTATGAAATTATTAATATTAAAAGGTGCTCATCCTATAGATGATAAATAGATTGATTTGTCACCTAATAAATTAATTAATTACAGTTTTTTTTTTGCAAAGACCACTAATAAAAGATTTAAAAAATAAAAAAAAAGAAAGAAAAAGAAACTAAATAAATACATGGGATAGAAAATACAAAATTTAAATAAAAAGTGGAATACATAACCTTACCAAGTGTCACTAAATATAAATATGTAAAGTAGAACACCATATGTTTCATGAGTCGAGACAAATGATGGTGTTCATGTTAACCACACGTGCAAAGAAAAACAACAGGAAGTGAGGGCCGTGTTAAAGCAGGAGGATGGCGAGGTGCTGGCAGAGCCCCGTGGAGACCGGGAACAATGTGATATCAAAGCACCGCCAGCATGTAGACTTTTCATAAGTGTCTGATTACATGAAAGGCTGGAGACGCATTCATTATCAGGCCTGTGAGCACATGGGCCAGATCTCTCCAAATTTAGCTCCTCTTTGAGTCTGGCCTGCGAATGCATAATGAGAACTCCATGGTGATGCACTCCCACAGTGTCTTCTCGCTGTAAACATCCACACGTCCGGAATATGTGAGGAAGGATGCACACACAGATAACACAACCCCATCTCAGACAGATTCTCTCTCCAAACATTGCAAGGTCATGTTTCACCCCCAAATCAACAGGAAATAATAATAATACAAAATTTGCTCTGGCAGGTTACTTTTTCCATCAGGAAAAAAATCTAAATCACTTAGAAAAAATAATAGCACAGCACGCTGCACAAGAGGGATCATTCATATTCATGCCACAAACCGTGCTAGAGTAATAGCAATGCTTTCCTTTGCAATGTATTTACACTAATCATATTGTGCATGAAAATAATTAAGCTGATTTTAAGACTGTAAAGTTTTTTTGCATTATGACATTATTTTCATGACAATTAAGCTAATTTCTCCCCCAAATTTCCATTTCTATTAGTTCAATAATATTATATATTATATTATATTATATTATATTATATTATATTATA